GGAGCAATCTATTTTTAAATACCAAGAACAAATTACCCAGGAGCAAAATAAAGTCCAACAAAAAGAAACTGAATTAGTTGATTTAAGAGAGGAGATAAAAGATTTACAAAAACAAGTAAAGGACAAAGAACTGAATGATGTGGAGAAAAGATTGATAGAAATTATACAGATTAATAATGGCTTTTGAGAATATATTAGTCCCAACGATTTACAGAAAATTAAAGATGAATTAAAAGATAATATTGAAAAATGAAAGGGTTTGAGGGATAATTATTGAGGCATTCGCAAAAAACTAATCGAATGATTTGAAAAAGAAGCAGAAATAAAAAAAAAGAAAAATGAAATAAATGTTATAACTAAACTCAAAAATCAATTACAAACCCAATTAGATATGGAAACTAAAACTAAGGAGGAATTGGCTCGGGAGTTAAATAATTTACAAACTGAAAATAAGGAATTACGCCCTCTTGCCTTAAAGCTAAAAAATGCCACTTGAAAAACCTATGCTAAAAAAGTTGTTTTGTTTAGAGGAGATAAACACAAATTAGATGCTGTTGTCTCTTCATGAAACTGAGAAGATTATTACAAAATAGAAACCGTTAATCACCCAATATTTAATGAACAAGCATCCCAATGAGTTTCATCCCAAGGACAAAAAATAGTAGAAGGTTGAAGGGTTATTACTACTAAGTGTTTAGTGGCTGATGAAATAAAGGATACAGATTTATCTGAAACAATTCTTGATGGTTATTTTGTTGAAAAATTAAAAGAATTTATGTTAGAGAAGGACATAAAGCCTGAAACTCCTAATGAACCAACTGAGGTTCCCCAAATTACTTATCCAAAAAAATAGTTAAAATACTATATTATGGTAATTGCCCAAGAATGGTTAGAAAAATATTATCCTGATAAGAAAACATGAATAATGTATATAAACCAACAATTAGAAGGAGTTTTAGATTGTAGTGGGTATGAAAATTTATGAAAAGGAATATACATTTCCACCTCAGTAGATAGGAGTAAATTTGAGATAAAAGGAGGTTCTTATAAGGATTATTATAATAAAGAAATTAAAGAAACCAAAATAACCCCCTGTATTCTTGCCCAAGAATATATAAACCAAGAATATCCTATAAATGGGACTTGTCAAATAAAGGAAGTTTATCCTAACAATTTTGGTAAAACTAGGGAAGAAATAAAAGAGTTAAGTATATATAGTAAAGACTTAGAAGGAGAATTAGACCTTTCTGATTTTAAGAATTTAGAGAAATTAAGTTGCTCTTATAATTATCTTACTAATCTAAATATAAATAATTGTAAGAAATTAAAGGAAATTAGTTGCCATACTAACCAACTTACTACTCTAAATCTGAGTAATTTAGCAGAATTAAAGGAACTACTTTGGTGTTCTGATAATTACCTTACTGAGATACCTTATCTTTCTAATCCAGAAAAAATAACTAAATTAGGTATAAGCAATAACAATATAAATCCCTCTGACCTTTCTATTTTTAGCAAGTTTAGGAATTTAAAAGATTTATATATTGGTAATGATGATAAAAACAAAATTAACCAAGGAATATATAATCGTTTCCATGGTAGTTTAGAACCTTTAAAGGATTTGAATAATTTATGACAATTAAGTATTTCCAATACTGATATAGATAGTGGTTGAGAATATTTACCAGATAGTTTAGAATACTTTTATTATGAAACAGAACTAAGACCTAACTGTAAATTAGCCTTAGTAAAAGAACACTGAGACCAAGAATTATGAAAGGATATTCATAAAGATTTTACTGTTCCTAAATATAAAAAAGACTGATTAAAAGCAGGATTTAGTAAAGAAGAATGCCGAGGATGAATTAATATAGGTTTTAAACAATATGAGGCAAATTATGCCGCAGAGTGAATAAAACAGGGATTTAGTAAAGAACAGACTAAGGAATTCCTAGAAGAATGAAGCCAACTAAAAATTGAACACTACGAAGGTGCCTTTATTAACTGATTTCTCAACTTTAAAAAACTAGACCTAAACTGAGCCTTAGAAAATGAGGAAGAATTTAAAGAGTGAAGAGATGGTTATCACAATTTTGGAACCTGTGAAGAATGTAATCAGCCTAATACTAGTAAAAATTGATGTCATTCTTGTAATGCTAAACATTTTCAGGAAGGCTTTGGTAAATGAACTAGTGGTAATGAAAAGATAGACCAATTTATCCAAAAATGCCAATTAGAGGCTACTAGTTCCTGGAATGTTTTAGAATGAATTCCTTACGAGAAGTTTACTGAAATTGAAAAAGTAAAAGAGTTAGAAACTGTTAGTTCTGAACTTCAAACTTTATATCTAAAACAAGAGAAACTAAACAAATCCAAGTTCAAACAGTTAACTAACAAAGGCAAAATAAAGCAAATAGAGGAAAAAATAGTTGATTATTCATCTCAAATAGAGAAATTAAATAAAGAAATAGAAGAAAGAAAAATTGAACCTATTGCTGAGGGAGGTTTTGGTAAGGTTTATAAAGCCGAATGAGAAGGGGGTTCTATTGCAGGATGGAATAATGAAAAAGGAGAGTGAAAAAGAAGTTATTATGAAACAGTTGCCCTAAAAACCCTCTCCAACTCCCAAAATCTCAACCAAGAATTCTTACAAGAACTAACTCTTTATAAAATGTTTAGAAGTTCAGTTAGTCAGATGGTTCCTTGTTATGGGATTTCTAGGGAACGAAGTCTTGACCCTTTTAATAAAGGGTTAGATAAAGAAGGTAATTATATTATGGTTATGAAGTATATGAAAGAAGGAAATTTAAGAGAGTATTTAAAGAAGAATAGGGAATTAGATTTAGAAAGCAAACTTATCTTCCTACAACAAATCGTTCAAGGACTAAAAGATATTCATCGTAAGCATTTAGTTCACAGGGATTTCCATAGTGGGAATATTATTGTAGATGTTGGTGGTAAGGATAAAACTAATTGTAGCATCACCGACCTAGGATTATCTAAACCAGCAGATGAAAAAGATGATAATGTTTATGGAGTAATGCCCTATGTAGCCCCTGAAGTCTTAAAGAGCAAGCCTTACACTCAAAAATCAGATATCTATTCCCTAGGCATGATTATGTATGAAGTAATTACTGGTTTACCTCCTTTTGGTAATGAAGGCCATGGTGTTAATTTAGCCTTACAAATCTGCCAAGGAATTAGACCCAAATTTCCCAACCAAGTTAAATATCCCCAATTGCTAATAGATTTAATTAAGAAGTGTTGAGACCAGGAGCCAAATAATAGACCTACGGCTAGGGAAGTAAGTGGTAAGTAGGATATTTGATTTCATTTGGTAAAGATTGATTATATTCCTTGGCTTCTTGATATTGGTGGCAGAATTCGGTGCCTCATTTTAATTTTAATTCTCCTTCTCGATTTTCCTCAAACCACCCTCCTACTATACCACTTACTTCCCTAGCCGTAGGTCTATTATTTGGCTCCTGGTCTCAACACTTCTTAATTAAATCTATTAGCAATTGGGGATATTTAACTTGGTTGGGAAATTTGGGTCTAATTCCTTGGCAGATTTGTAAGGCTAAATTAACACCATGGCCTTCATTACCAAAAGGAGGTAAACCAGTAATTACTTCATACATAATCATGCCTAGGGAATAGATATCTGATTTTTGAGTGTAAGGCTTGCTCTTTAAGACTTCAGGGGCTACATAGGGCATTACTCCATAAACATTATCATCTTTTTCATCTGCTGGTTTAGATAATCCTAGGTCGGTGATGCTACAATTAGTTTTATCCTTACCACCAACATCTACAATAATATTCCCACTATGGAAATCCCTGTGAACTAAATGCTTACGATGAATATCTTTTAGTCCTTGAACGATTTGTTGTAGGAAGATAAGTTTGCTTTCTAAATCTAATTCCCTATTCTTCTTTAAATACTCTCTTAAATTTCCTTCTTTCATATACTTCATAACCATAATATAATTACCTTCTTTATCTAACCCTTTATTAAAAGGGTCAAGACTTCGTTCCCTAGAAATCCCATAACAAGGAACCATCTGACTAACTGAACTTCTAAACATTTTATAAAGAGTTAGTTCTTGTAAGAATTCTTGGTTGAGATTTTGGGAGTTGGAGAGGGTTTTTAGGGCAACTGTTTCATAATAACTTCTTTTTCACTCTCCTTTTTCATTATTCCATCCTGCAATAGAACCCCCTTCTCATTCGGCTTTATAAACCTTACCAAAACCTCCCTCAGCAATAGGTTCAATTTTTCTTTCTTCTATTTCTTTATTTAATTTCTCTATTTGAGATGAATAATCAACTATTTTTTCCTCTATTTGCTTTATTTTGCCTTTGTTAGTTAACTGTTTGAACTTGGATTTGTTTAGTTTCTCTTGTTTTAGATATAAAGTTTGAAGTTCAGAACTAACAGTTTCTAACTCTTTTACTTTTTCAATTTCAGTAAACTTCTCGTAAGGAATTCATTCTAAAACATTCCAGGAACTAGTAGCCTCTAATTGGCATTTTTGGATAAATTGGTCTATCTTTTCATTACCACTAGTTCATTTACCAAAGCCTTCCTGAAAATGTTTAGCATTACAAGAATGACATCAATTTTTACTAGTATTAGGCTGATTACATTCTTCACAGGTTCCAAAATTGTGATAACCATCTCTTCACTCTTTAAATTCTTCCTCATTTTCTAAGGCTCAGTTTAGGTCTAGTTTTTTAAAGTTGAGAAATCAGTTAATAAAGGCACCTTCGTAGTGTTCAATTTTTAGTTGGCTTCATTCTTCTAGGAATTCCTTAGTCTGTTCTTTACTAAATCCCTGTTTTATTCACTCTGCGGCATAATTTGCCTCATATTGTTTAAAACCTATATTAATTCATCCTCGGCATTCTTCTTTACTAAATCCTGCTTTTAATCAGTCTTTTTTATATTTAGGAACAGTAAAATCTTTATGAATATCCTTTCATAATTCTTGGTCTCAGTGTTCTTTTACTAAGGCTAATTTACAGTTAGGTCTTAGTTCTGTTTCATAATAAAAGTATTCTAAACTATCTGGTAAATATTCTCAACCACTATCTATATCAGTATTGGAAATACTTAATTGTCATAAATTATTCAAATCCTTTAAAGGTTCTAAACTACCATGGAAACGATTATATATTCCTTGGTTAATTTTGTTTTTATCATCATTACCAATATATAAATCTTTTAAATTCCTAAACTTGCTAAAAATAGAAAGGTCAGAGGGATTTATATTGTTATTGCTTATACCTAATTTAGTTATTTTTTCTGGATTAGAAAGATAAGGTATCTCAGTAAGGTAATTATCAGAACACCAAAGTAGTTCCTTTAATTCTGCTAAATTACTCAGATTTAGAGTAGTAAGTTGGTTAGTATGGCAACTAATTTCCTTTAATTTCTTACAATTATTTATATTTAGATTAGTAAGATAATTATAAGAGCAACTTAATTTCTCTAAATTCTTAAAATCAGAAAGGTCTAATTCTCCTTCTAAGTCTTTACTATATATACTTAACTCTTTTATTTCTTCCCTAGTTTTACCAAAATTGTTAGGATAAACTTCCTTTATTTGACAAGTCCCATTTATAGGATATTCTTGGTTTATATATTCTTGGGCAAGAATACAGGGGGTTATTTTGGTTTCTTTAATTTCTTTATTATAATAATCCTTATAAGAACCTCCTTTTATCTCAAATTTACTCCTATCTACTGAGGTGGAAATGTATATTCCTTTTCATAAATTTTCATACCCACTACAATCTAAAACTCCTTCTAATTGTTGGTTTATATACATTATTCATGTTTTCTTATCAGGATAATATTTTTCTAACCATTCTTGGGCAATTACCATAATATAGTATTTTAACTATTTTTTTGGATAAGTAATTTGGGGAACCTCAGTTGGTTCATTAGGAGTTTCAGGCTTTATGTCCTTCTCTAACATAAATTCTTTTAATTTTTCAACAAAATAACCATCAAGAATTGTTTCAGATAAATCTGTATCCTTTATTTCATCAGCCACTAAACACTTAGTAGTAATAACCCTTCAACCTTCTACTATTTTTTGTCCTTGGGATGAAACTCATTGGGATGCTTGTTCATTAAATATTGGGTGATTAACGGTTTCTATTTTGTAATAATCTTCTCAGTTTCATGAAGAGACAACAGCATCTAATTTGTGTTTATCTCCTCTAAACAAAACAACTTTTTTAGCATAGGTTTTTCAAGTGGCATTTTTTAGCTTTAAGGCAAGAGGGCGTAATTCCTTATTTTCAGTTTGTAAATTATTTAACTCCCGAGCCAATTCCTCCTTAGTTTTAGTTTCCATATCTAATTGGGTTTGTAATTGATTTTTGAGTTTAGTTATAACATTTATTTCATTTTTCTTTTTTTTTATTTCTGCTTCTTTTTCAAATCATTCGATTAGTTTTTTGCGAATGCCTCAATAATTATCCCTCAAACCCTTTCATTTTTCAATATTATCTTTTAATTCATCTTTAATTTTCTGTAAATCGTTGGGACTAATATATTCTCAAAAGCCATTATTAATCTGTATAATTTCTATCAATCTTTTCTCCACATCATTCAGTTCTTTGTCCTTTACTTGTTTTTGTAAATCTTTTATCTCCTCTCTTAAATCAACTAATTCAGTTTCTTTTTGTTGGACTTTATTTTGCTCCTGGGTAATTTGTTCTTGGTATTTAAAAATAGATTGCTCC